AATTTGTAGATTGTTGTGTTTTAGTATATATACTAGTGGCAACCTGTGCAATGCATGGGAAAATCTGAAAGATTGAATCATTTTATTTACTATTAATTAACTAAAAATATTCAAATTTATTATAAATATTTAAATTTTTAAAAATTGTATTTTTCATTTTATGTTGATTTATAGAAAATAATTATTATTCTCATTATTTTTTAAATAAAATTTTGATTAGCTTTAAATAAATAAAAATAACTACAAAAGCTAACATTTTTATTAATTTCACTAATAATTAACAATTATATAGGAATGGCAATGGGGCAGGTTCGGGCAGACACCTTATCCTTGTCTCTGCCCCGTAGTCAAGACAATACTCTATTGCATCCTCACCCCATCCCCAATGTTAAGCAAGTTTAGGGCAAGACACCCACTTTCAGTTAGGGATATGGAATCTTCAAATTTCCTTTCCTCGGCCTCAATGTCAAGCGAGTTCAAGAGAAGGCACCCACTCATCATCAAGGATGGGGAATCCTTGAATTTTCCTTGCCCCATTTCTAGTGTCGAGCAGGTTCAAGGCAAGGTACCCACTCCCCATCAACACAATATTCAATTTGTTGACAAAAATAACAAAAGGATATATTGAATATGGATCACATGGTAAATTTCTAAAAGTACACTAGCCAATATGGATCACAGATATCTTTCATTTAACCCTTGATCTGGGCTATCTCATTAGCCAATATATTCATTTCTTAAATGCCAATGATCATACCATTTATAGACCAATCAAACCCCACCAAATGATCCAATAGATAAATACCTTTAGAAACCTCATTGTCAACACCTAATTTTTGCTTAGTCGTCGCTAAAATTTCCTAAACACCCAATTAGAGCGTTCTGATCCCTCTGAAGCGCCTAAAAATCCCAAACCCTACCATCAGGCCTAGGACCTCCTAAAATACCTATCCATGAAATTCCAACCTAAGATTCATTCACTTACTCTTTAATCAAATCAATATTCCCTTTCAAACCCTCTTGTTGGCCCGAAGCATCCCAGGATCTCCTTGATCCTAACATTTTGGCTCTCTAAAACCAATTAGATGTTTCCATGAGATCCTAGACACCCTAAAAACCCTACTCACAGAAATTTAGCCCACAATCCTTTGTTTGCCTCTTCATTGCACTAAGATTTTGTTTCAAAGCTCCGGATTAACCAAATCAAGCCCTTTTTTTTATCTACCCGATGCAAGCAAGGTTGGGCCAATCTGACTTTACCAATCAATCTAGAATGCTTTAGATTGATTGAATCACTACCCTTACGATCTGCCTAATTTGGGCCTATTTGGGCTAATTTGAACACACCAGTCGAATTCAAAATGCTTAAAAACCCGACCTTATAAGATTTTAACAAAAATGCTCTCATTTACACCTCCATATAAAAAATATTCTATTTTAGTCAATCTCATTGGCCAATACATACAAAACCACTATGTATACTCAAACCAATATACCCACATTTTTTTACCCAAAATACCCACCATTATATTAGAATTTTAGTTTTGACCTCCTTAGACCCATATTGACCAAAATATCCCATGAGCTTAAAGAAATACCCCTTAAAAATCCTAAAATTACAAACTACCCTTACCCCCATTATAAAAGCCAAACATAATAATAGAAAATACTATTAACTAAATAAATACCTTAATTAAAATAATGAATTAAACATTGTATTTTATTAAACACTGTAATTAATAAAAAATTCCATTAACAATATATTGCTAATTAAAATATTGTATTTAATTAATACATTATTTATATGTAATAAAATTTGTATTTTTATTTAATAAATATTGTATTTTGATTTAGTAGATATTGTATCTTTATTTAATGAAAAACGTATTTTTATGTACAATAACTTTTATGTAAAAACCATATTTTATTTAATAAATACAACTTTTTTATGCAGTGTATTTTGATTTAGTAAATACAGTACTTTTATGTAATGAAAACTGTAAAACTGTATGTTGATTTAATAAATACTGTAATTATGGTTAAATAAAAAACTGTAATTAAATACAAAAACTCTATTAAATCAGGAATGAACCAGATATGGATTGTTATCTAATTAGAACCCGGTCCATTTAATAAAGCTGCCATGTCACATTAGTTAAATGGACCGGGTTGACATAGTCAAACCTGACCCGTACAATTTGAAGGCTTTCTTCTTCGCCCGACGTTCGCTTGAAAGAGCGAACATAGAAACAAACCGCCATGTAGTTTTCGACCAATCTTTGCATGAAACCAAGGAAAAGTTGCCATCATCCAATCTTTGCATGAAAATTGGCCAAGAAAAACTAGATTTGGTTGTCGTCCGATCTTTAAGCTTTGAACTTTCATATGAGAAAGTGATAAATGCTTTTGTGTCAAACAAAGAGGGTTGGAATACATACCTTTCAGAACGATCCAAGAGGAAGAACCTACCGCCCCTGCTTTGTGGTTTTTGATCGAACCAATTAGAGAAACAGCCCTGCTATTCGCCCAAAACAGAAAAAATATAAGTTGGGTTTTGAATGTGAAGAATAGAGAGAGGTAAGAAAGAAGAATTGGTTAACCTTTCCCCCTTGTATGTCTTCCTATATTGGTTCTCATCTAAAACCTGGGATATGATAAAAGTGGGTTATTTGAAATTATTATTGTTATTTGAAGTTGCCACATATTTATTATTGTTATATTTTTAAAATAAAATAAAATAAGAAAAAAAGCAAAAAATGGAGAAAATAGATAAATATTTTCCCTTAAAGGAGAAGGTTGCTGACATGGACAAACCAATTTCAATATATATATATATATATATATATATAGATTATTTAAATGGTTATTAAAAATTATAATTTAAACATTTTTAGGTAGGTATAATTTAGGAGAGAATGTCTTTCTTAAATTATAAGTAATTTAGGAGATAAATAGGAATCGGAAATAATCGGAGATAATTTAGGAGAAAATAGGGAATAGTGGTGCCATTGACTAGATTGAACATGTAAGATAAATTAAGAGGTGTTTTAGGAGGAATTTTAGTTAGGAGAGATAGTTTAGGAGAAATTTTAGAAGAGAGTTGACTGAGTGATTGGGAACATGGGAGAGAGGTTGTTGGAATGGGACTCTAGTGAAGAGGAGAGGTCTACCACGTGGCTACATAGAAGGGCTGGGACGGGGTAAGGGAGATAGGAGAGAGATTCAAGGAGGAAGTAGCAAAAGAGGAATGAAATAAGGAAAAGGCTGTTGATGCAACCTATATTGTTATATAATATAGTATAGATAAATTATACATTATTTAATTTAGAATTTTATAAATAATTAAATTTTTATTTAGATGCCATAGGCACAAATTCTGGCCTCATGGCTTGGGCTTGGCATGAATCAGTCCATGATCACCCCTAAAAGGGTGATATTAGAATATTTGATGGTCTCATTCTTTCATCAGTTTTACATGTTCCTACATTGAACACAAAAAATGTTGTCTATTAGTAGTCTTACTAAAAGATCTGCTTAATTGTTCATCAACCATTTTTTGTCATGATCATTTTGTTTTTTCGGACTTGAATTCAGAAAGATGATCAAAAGTGACAATGAGAAAAATGAGAGAATTTAGGTTAGGTCCACAATTCAATTGCTTGAGTCTATGGGTCTCTGACCAATTCTATAGTTTTTGAAGGATTTGTGAGTTTAAAAAAGTTGAATTTGAAAATGGGTTTGAGTGTTCGGACGATTTGTTCAAGTCGACGACCAACTGAAAACAACCCTATATTTTGGTTGGTTTGACATGGTCGTGTAGGTCTTCCTGACCCATAGACATCCTTGTTGGGTTTGTTCAAAGGTCAGATCTGAATATTTACCTCGGCCCAACATTTTCGTAGAGAGAAGTCATTAGGTTGAGTTTGAAAGAAGTACAAATGCAAATATGTAGAGTGCAAAACCTTATATTTTATATTATTTTGTATGTTTTTACACTGTACATATTTGCATTTGTACTGCTTCCAAATTGAGCCTTAGTTTTCAAATTTGGAGCAAGGATTAAAGTATTGATATGATACTCCCGATATAGAGTATATTGTATCTATATGCCATGATTGTGTATGTATCTCACAAGTTGTGTGTATCGGCACAATACGCCTCCTTATCGAACCGTATTGCATTATGTTGATGGATATAGTCTAGTATGCATGGATACAAAAGTGTATCTGTGCTTAGTTTGACAAAATTGTATATTAACTGCTTTTGGATTGTTTTTCATCTTTAATAAAAATAAAAAATATAATTATAAAAACAATATATTTCATCTACCTTAAATGATTTATATGTTTTATTTTACAAATAATTATATGTTAAAAATTGAAACATAATTATTATTGAAAAAATAATTATTATATAAAATGCTAAATAAATGAATTTTCCCAAGAAAATTATAATTATAAAAACTGAAATGAATAATTCAAGATTTAATTTCCCCAAAAAATTTAATAAAAAATGATATAAATAATTTATTTTATCTACTTCAAAAGATTTATATGTTGTATTTTATAATTATATGTAAAATAAAAAATATATGTTAAAAATGAAAACATATTTATTATTTAAAAATAGTTATTATTTATATAAAAATATTAATTAACAAATATTCCCAAAAAGTTAATAAAAATTAAAAAATTATAATTGTAGAAATTGAAATAAAGTGTTAATTATTGTATGATGTTTGAATGTTCTAGAATTCGTATTATTGATTGCAATGTTTCTTTTTATATAACCTATTATATAATCTATTGAATTATACATTTTTCATGTTTTTATGGATTATTTATACATAATTCAGTTTTTGATTTAGTATTATTAATACATTTATATGTATTTTATTTCTATATATTTCGTTGATATCCGTACATTTTCGAATCATATCCGTATTCCGTATTCCGTAGTCGTATACTTGGTGTGGACTACCGGAGAGTATCTAACAGAGGCAACGACAACGTCAGGCGTCAGCTGCCATTTCCTAATGTTGGGCACTTGTTTACTGCATTGCCGCTCTCCAGCAGTCAGCGTCCCCGTCACTAACCGCCGTCGACGAATCCATAGCTCTCAAGGGAGGAAGCTCGTTTTTTCTCTAATGGAAGGCGGAGGACTAAACGAGAACTTCGGCTTTCTGTCAAGGAAACCTTACGTCCCTCCTGAATGGGCCTCCCATCTCAGCCCTATCCCTTCTCACGTCTTCTCCCTCGGACATGTAAGTCTGCCCCATTTTCTATTGCTCGTAGAAGAATATAAAGAAACGCTGATTGATCTTGAATTTCGTCGTTCTATTTTGGGACCGGTTGAACCATTTCTCATTGTTTTCTTTATTATTGTAGTTCCGATACTTCGTTAGTTTCATTCGAATGTGATTATTCTTAATAAAATCAGACCAAATTCTTAATAAGTGTCAGCATAAAGAGAATTTGAAGCTTAATTTGTTAAAAATGTACAAAATGGACTTTTGGATTTTTTCATTGATAAGTGGACTCCGTAGGGTTTTTCTTAGTTTAAAATCACAATACATCGAGAAGAATCAAAGGTCATACCAATGGCTTAAAAGCTTGTCCGATCGTATTGGTATTTGGTGCTAGAATTTGGATTGCATGATTTAGTCAGCCATTAATAATTGAAATTCTATGTTGTTTCAGCAGAAGCTCTAGGAGATTTTGAATTTGTTGTTAGGAAATGGGGTCACCGGAGGAGAAGCTCTGAGGCACGTATAAAGACACTGTTTTTAGAACGTTATTTGCCCCCACTCAGTTACACTGAGTTTATTGTTGAGTTATAGGCAAATTCATTCCCAGGATACAACAGAGCCTTAGGCGAGAATCTATAACTAGCAAAGTTGAAGAGTCTTCGAAGAAACCTTCAGTGAGGCTGTAGTAGATCGGACTGAGAGAGAGAGAGTGAATTTCGAAATTGTTGTGTGAAAAGTCTGATTCATGCTCCTTATATAGTTTTTGAAGAGTTATGAAGAAAATGTAGGTGCTAGTTTAGAGAAAGACACTTTGAACAGTCACAATTTCAAACACTGTGATTGTTTAAAAGGTAGTTAATAGTTAATGACTGTTAACTTTGAAGGTTTTTTCGAAGTGAGCACAGTGTGCCTCTAAAGCGTCTCATTGCATCGTACAAACGCGCGTACACGCGTGCACGCACGTTGCACGGTAGCAAACCTCCATACTCTCCTTTACTATTTCTAAGGAGTGTAAATCAGCTCCTATTAAAAAACTTAAAACAAAACTTGTAATTTTCCAATGTGGGACAAGTTTAAAATTGGTTTTAATAAGAGAAAAACTGTTTTCTAAAGCAAGTGTGCAGGTGTGATTTCTCATGTAATTGACCAATCAAATCCATTGGGTTTAATCTCTTATGAGATTAAAATCCAACATTTGTACTATATGTTATTCATTCTTAGCACATAAGGGTTGGATTATATGAAATTATCTTTCATGTTTCCATGTTAAGTGGACTGTTTTGCCTTCACTTCCAACTTCTCTCTCTCTTCTCTCTCTTTCTCTCTCTCTCCTCATTTCATTGTAGTGCTTTTTTGTTTGATAACAGTACACTTAATTTAGGAAAAGTGCGTTATGTGCAGCATAATAGTTTGTTAGGCTGGTATACCACCACCTAACCCCTTATTCATTGTTGTATCAGTTTCCTACACCTGTCCACAAATGGAATCTGCCCAACCTGCCAAAGAATACAGAGGTGTGGCTGAAGGTAAATTGAGAGCTTATTTACTTTTCAATATTTTGTTCTCTTTTCTATTGATGTTCACCCTTTAGTAATGATATATTACTAAATAAAGGTATCCAAGGCATCTGTCTTGTTAACAAGGACAATTTATTAGTGGCTTTCTGTAGGAATAGATTTCCTACTAGATAGTTGCAAACATCCATTGTTCATATGAAATAAATCCATCTATTCCCATCATTCAGTAAGTCAATCCTGTAATTTTTGAATAAGGTTCAAGAGTTGTTCCAAATGGGCCTATATAGTGGTTGTTCCACATGCTTGCATGCCTTTTAGTTGTCCTCTGTTCTACCTGAAAGGTGGCTTGGACTCTTTCTCTTGTTTATGATTCTTTTGTTTTACACTAACAGAATAATCTGGAATTTTCTAGCGTGATGACCTTACAGGAATGCAATTGAGTGGAAACAAGGTCAGAAAACTAGAATTTTTGATGGCAGATGCCATACAACATGGTGCAGATTGTATTATAACAATAGGAGGCATCCAAAGCAACCACTGCCGAGCAACAGCTGTAGCAGCAAAGTACTTGAATCTTGATTGCTATCTTATACTACGTACATCCAAGGTTGTTCTTTATATTTTGGTTTCATTTGCTTTGTTTTCTTTTTTCTTTTTTGAATATACCCTGACTTTTATTGGTATTCTGAATTAGTTGGTTACTTAAATCTGTCAGTGCATTTATTTTTCAGACTCTAGTGGACAAAGATCCTGGATTGACAGGAAATCTTCTGGTAGAGCGTTTAGTGGGAGCACATGTTGAACTTGTCTCAAAAGAAGAATATTCTAAAACTGGGAGTGTGGTTTGTTCTTTCACACTTTATAATTCCTTCTGAATATCCTTTTAATCATTTAAATGAGCAACTAGACAGTCAGTCTAAACTATTCATTAAAATTGGATCTTTGAAGTCAACATAACAGTATCATATGTTGCTCCTGTCAAAGTCAAGGCTTGTAGTCCTTTATTCATTCCTCTTAATATTCTATGCAATTAAGCAATATGCCTGCTGTAATCCTGTTATTTAGCACTGTACCTTCCATTGTTAAACCATGTAACAGATGGATGGTTATTCTTCTCTGTTGCCTGAGGATGTCATGTTCAACAGTTCACATCTATATTTGGCCTTGACACATGTTTTCATTTATTGATTTGCTGATAGGTTTTTTAAAACAATGTGGATCTTGGGAAAAAAAGTCATTTCTTGATAACCTATTAAGGCTATGTAGGAGACAAAAGTGTTGTTATTGATCTTCAGTGACAATTGGCAAGGGATGGTGGTGTAGAATTGTTTGAGTCATGTTATAGGATTAAAGGTACAGACTTATTTAAGTGATTGAGAAGTTTCAAATGAATGTTTACAGAAAATTCTTTTTTTTTTTACGGGAAAAATTAAATTTCATTAATAGAAAAAAGAAATACATCCTCACAGGTGATAAGGTATATAGCCACATGCAAGAAAACAGCAGAAAATTTACTAATATAAACATACAAGATTTTCCAAATTACACAATTGAAACCCTAACAATTCCCCAAGTTTGTCCACAAGATCTTCATTAGTAACTTGACGAAATTCTGGTAATATCAGCGCCCACTCTGCAACAGATTTGGTAATTGCTGCCACTATCCTGTCCATTGTCCAAGATTTGTCTTAACATATTCTTCTATTTCTTTCCTTCTAGATATTCCAATATATTGCAAAAGGGATGCAATTCCAGATTACTTTTGCTTTTTTGCATCCTCTTATCTTCGGCAAGGAGGAAAAAATTTCTGCAGGTGGAATTGGATGAAAATCTCTTACCCAAACATGGTTGTGATTTGTGAACAGTCTCCAAATAAAACCGACATAATTATAGGAGAAGAACACATGGAAAATGTTTTCCTCTTGTTCTTTACAAAGATAGCACATGTTAACCATATTATCAGGATGATTCAGGTGGTGTGTCTATCCAGAAATTAGTGGAAAGAGAGGTAACAATCAGTAAAAGCTTGGGTTTATTTATTTTGGGTGGTGAGGAATTTGCTAGAAGGGCCTTCTAGGAGTTCGAGAGGAAACGAATAAGAGGAAGGGGCTTTCTAGCTAATCTCCTTTTGTACTACCTCTAAATCTTTAGAATGCCATAGGCAATTGTCAACAGAATTGAGAAATTAATAAGAGGCTTTCTTTTGGAATCTAGAGTGGGTGAGAAGGATAACTTGGTCAAATGGGAGTTAGTGTGTAGAAGGAAAGAGGAAGGGGGTTTGGGAATAGATAATCTGAGTAAGAAAAACTTGATTGTCCTTTTTTTGAAGAAAGGTGAAGTATAGTGTATTAACACAAAAGTATATGGTCCTCTGTACAATGAGTTTCTGTACAAGTATATGCCAAAATATGATCTTAAAAAAATTAACCTGCGAAAGAGAAACAACCAAGGTATCGTCCTTAAAAAGCATTATGAATAGGGAGTCAGTCTTTGAGAAGTTCCACCATCATGTTAATGACTACTGCTTCAGCTGAAGCGTTCTGCTCAAAATTCTGCTAGTTCTTCCATACCAAATAGCCCAAAAGATTGCCAGGGGAATGACTGGTCCGGCAACATGCCACTCTTCTAAAAGTGCTTTCATTGATTTGGAAAAGCACCAGTTCAGATCTACTTCCTTCAGAAAATGATTCCACACAGCTCCTCTGAAGTTACAGTGCAAGAAAAGATGATTTGAGGTCTCTATCTCCTGATTACAAAGTGAACACAATAGGTCTGCAATGTTGAAACCCTTCTTCCAAAGTGTTAGAATCGACAATACAAGGGCAGTTTAGTCATTTTCCTATTAAATTAAGGTTGAGTTGTCTATTTCGTCTGGGTTTAAGTTGTGTGTCCCATACTTAATGAGGGACTGATTTGTCTTTTGTAATCTAATACAAAGAGTATAAATATAAGGTGGGTCAGTTGAGAGAGATTGACTTTTCTTCTTCTCAGACCGAACCCTTTCTTCTTCTCCTCTCTTCTTTCTCTTCTTCTTCTTTCCTTCTTACTTATCTCAGACCTAGGACTGAACTAGTGTTAATTGAATCATTAACATGGTATCAGAGCACTAGAAAATCAGTCTAGAACTCAGTTTTTTTTCTCTTCTTCCTTCCTCTTGGGATCGCCATATCAGAACTTCTTTTTGAAATAACTCCCAAATGAATTGGAGGATCGATAAGGGACCAAAAAGGAGTGGTCGTCTTTCCTTCTTGGAGGTAACTATGCCTCCAGTTGCTGTAGTGGTGGTTTGTTAGAAACCCTTTAATCGATGACTCGAAGAGGGTTGGTTGTGGACAGGTGTGAACATAACTCTCTAGTTGGCTGATAGTGTAGTGTGTTCTCTCTCTTTTGGAATGGATTTCATCCATGTGGCAGTGTTGATTGATAGGTACGTATATGGACTGTTTTTCTCTCTGTTTATGTCTGAATATGTGTGGTAACAGTAGGGTTTTCTGGTGCTGAACCTATGGCAGCAGTAGTGTTGTAATAACAATGCTTTATTGTGTGGTGTGTGGTGTAGTGATGAATAATGAAGGGTGACTTTTGTCTCTTGTAGTTGGATTTTTTTTATTTTTTTGTTATAATGGCAACAATTGGAGAGGGTAGTGATAATAAGACTGGTGTTATGATTTCCCCTGATTACCTGAATGCTCAAATGACCTCTATCAAATTAAATGGTGAGAACTATGTGCCATGGGCTAAATTAGTGGAATTGTTCTTGAGAGCCAAGAAGGTGAAACATGTGAGGGAGGAGAAATCCTCTTCTGACTCTCTAGGGTTTAGTGAGTGGGAATAGGAGGAAGCACAGGTTATGACTTGGTTGTGGAATAGCATGGAGCTTAAAATTGGTGTGAATTTTATGTTCTTGGATACAAGTAGGGAGATCTGGGACCATGCTATGAAACTTTATTTTGGCCAAGATAACACTACTAGAGTGTACCAATTTTATTAGGAGTACTTTAACTTGAAGCAGGGAAATCAAAGTTTAGAAGAGTATTATGCAAGCATGAGAAACCTTTGTAATGAGCTTAACATGTATCGCCCTTTGACTTCGGATGTCAAAATTCAGTAGCAACAACGAGAACAACTTGATGCAACAAGGTTTTTAGTGGGTTTAAAATCTGAATGTGAACCTGTTCGAGCACAAATATTAGGTGGATCTGCTCTCCCCTCTCTTGAGGAGGTGTTTGCTCGACTTTGGAGGATTCCTATTGAACCTACGAAGCCTTCCTCTCTCTTGGAGACAGGTATGGATTTCCAAGGACCAAAGGTGACGAGAGGGGGAGGTTGTGGATTTCCAAGGACCAAAGGTGACGAGAGGGGGAGGTTGTGGATTTCCAAGGACCAAAGGTGGTCGTATGTTCAATCGTATTGGTGGTCGTAGTGGAGGTCGAGATTTAGGGGGAGGTCGTAGTAGAGGACAAGTATTAGTACTAGGAGGTGCACATACTGTGGATTAGAGGGGCATGCTGTTACCTTCTGTTATGACTTACATGGTCCACACAACACTTGGGCCAATCATGCTGTGACTAGTGGTGGTCGTATAGTGAGATTTAGCAGGCTGATCAGACATCCTCCACATCTATAGGTGCTTTTGGGAAGGAAATGGTGAGTGTCCCACATGAGGAGTATGATAAGTTTCTTTAGACATCCTTTCAGTAGAACACTACCACTCTTGCACATTCAGGTATGGCTTGCTTGGCATTCAAACCCTCAAACTGGATTATTGACTCTGAAGCATCTGATCATATGACTGGGACTCTAGGTGTGCTTTCTTCACTTTGTCACTCTTCTACATCCCAAACAGTTACCCTTGCTAATAGTTCTACTTCTCCCATTTGTGGTGTGGGTGATGTTGACTTCACCTTACTTCTTTATCTTTATCCTCCGTCTTATATGTACCCAAGTTTCCGTTTAACCTTATGTCTATTAGTAGATTAACCAAGTCGCTTAATTGTTCTATAACATTTTATCCCTCTTCTTGTGTGTTTCAAGATCTCAAGACGAGGATGAAGATTGGTGGAGGGCATGAGGCAGGTGGATTGTATTACCTCGATAGTGGTGGTTCGAAAGCAGCTCTTCAATCATCTCTTACTCCTCTCTAATGGCATGAGGCAGGTGGATTATGAGTCGTGTTAGCTTGGGAAATACCATAAAGTCTCTTTTAATCCTAAAGTTGATAGTTGTGTTTTGAGTCCTTTTTCTTTATTTCATTCAGATGTTTGGGGTCCAAATAAAGTAGTGTTGTACAATGGCTACAAGTACTTTGTAATTTTTGTTGATGATTATTCGAAGGATGGCATGGCTTTATCTTATGAAAGACAAAAGTAAATTGTTCTCTATTTTTCAAAAGTTTCATGCTGAAATTCGTACCCAATTTGGTGTTCATATTGAAATTCTTTGCTTGGACAGTGCAAAAGAGTACACCTCTACACCATTTCAGCAATACTTAGAGCACCATGGGGTAATTCACCAAACTTTCTTGTTCTTATACCCCACAACAGAATGACGTGGCTGAATGGAAGAATCGACACTTACTTGAAACTACTCGGTCTATTATGCTTGATATGAATGTTCCAAAGCATTTTTGGGGTGATGTTATCCTTACATCATGTTTTCTCACCAATTAGATGAGCATGTCTATCCTTGGAAGTCAGTCTCCTTTCTCAGTTTTGTTCCCTACTTTTTCTCCATTCCCTCTTACTCCTAGAGTCTTTGGATTTGTTTGTTTTGTTTAGAATTTAGAGCCTGGGTTGGATATGTTAGATGCACATGCTACAAAATGCATCTTTCTTGGCTACTCCAAAACCCAAAAAGGGTATAAGTGTTACAACCCTAGCTCTCATTGGTATTTTGTGTGTTTTGATCTCATTTTCTTTGAATTTGTTCCATTCTTTTCTAGTTTTGATGTTCTTCTTCTTGCTCCTATGTTTCCTCTCCTCATTCCAGTTGAAGACCCCCTTCCTATGGTTCTTATTGTGTCTTAGTCGTTGTCTTCTCTAGTGCAAGTTAATACTGAAAGGCCATCAATCACACAAGTGTATACTCACAGAAGAGCACCGGCCCCTCCTCCAGTTCAGCCATTGCCGATAGATCCTATAGTTGTACCTCATCTTTTTGACCTTGATCCTCCTATTGCATTGTAGAAAGTTAAACATAGTTGTACATCTCATCTTATTTCCCATTATGTTTCTGTTGCTCACTTTTCTGCTTCCCATTGACAGTTTATATCTTTGTTATCATCTGTTTCCATTCCTAAGAATGCCCAAGAAGCCATTACCTCTCTAGGGTGGGGGCAAGCAATGGAAGAGGAATTGTCTACACTAGCACACAATCACATGTGGGAGCTTACCCCTCTCCTTCCTAGTAAGCATGTTGTTGGATGTAAGTGGATATACACAGTAAGATATCTTCCAGATGACAGTGTGGAAAGATTGAAAGCCAAGTTAGTGGCTAAAGGCTATTCTTAGTTATTTGGTGTTGAGTATATGGAGACATTTTCTCTTATGGCTAAGATTGGTTCAGTTCGGGTGTTGATTTTTTAGCAGCAACGTATGATTGGCCCCTCTTTCAGCTTGACATAAAAAATGCTTTCTTACATGGTGATCTTGTTGAGGAGGTATATATGGAGCAACCACTAGAGTTTGTTGCTCAGGGGGAGAATGGTAAAGTTTGCAGACTTAAGAAGGTGATTTATTGGTTGAAACAATCTCCATGTGCATGGTTTGGCAAATTCAGTGAAGTAGTGAGGGGCTTTGGCATAAAATAATGGCAAGTAGACCATTCTGTGTTCAATTATGAATTGGAAGTTGGGAAGATTTTGTTAGTGGTGTATGTGGATGATATTGTCATAACTAGTAGTGACAACAATGGGATTGACAGGTTGAAGAACTTTTTATATGAATTGGAAGTTGGGAAGATTTTATATTATCACTTCCATGCAAGGTCAAGGCATGGTATTAACTTGTGCCAAAGAAAGTATGTCCTTGATTTACTTGAAGAAACAAGGTTGTTGGGTGCCAAACCAGCTGAAACACCCATGGAACCAAATGTCAAGTTGAGTATTGATGCAGGTGAAGAGTTTCATGATCCTAGAAGGTACAGGAGGTTGGTGGGTAAATTAAACTACCTGACTATAACTTGGTTAGATATATCATTTGTAGTAAGTATGGTGAGTTAGTTTATGCAACATCCTCGAGTTCCACATTGGGAGGCTGTTCTAAGAATTGTTAGGTACTTGAAGGGAGCTCCAAGTTGTGGACTGTTATACAAGAGTGGAGGAACTCTTGAGATAAAGGGGTACACAGATGCTGATTGGGCTGGATCTGGATTTGGCAAGAGATCCACTACAAGGTATTATACCTTTCTTGGTGGCAATTTGCTTACTTGGAAGAGCAAGAAGCAAATTGTGGTAGCAAAAAGCAGTGTTGAAGCTGAAAACATAGGGCCATGGCTCATACTACCTGTGAACTAGTGTGGCTGTAGGAGATGGGATTCTCAGTTGACTAACACATGAGGTTGTATTGTGATAACCAAGCTGCAGTCCACATTTCTTCTAATGCAGTCTTTCACGAGAGAACAAAGCATATTGAAGCGGACTTCCACTTTGTAATAGAAAAGGTGATAAGTGGAGTGATAAATACAACTCATGTGAGTTCAAGAAACCGGTGGACAGATTTGTTTACAAAAGGGTTGAGTCGGGGAGGAGTGGATTACATATGTAACAAGGTGGGACTATATGATATATACTCTCCAGCTTGAGGGGGAGTGTTAGAATCAATAGTACAAGGGTAGTTTAGTCATTTGTCTACTTAATTAAGGTTGAGTTGTTTATTTCGTCTGGGTTTAAGTTGTGTCTCCCATACTTAATGAGGGACATATTTGTCTTTTGTAATCTAATACAAAGAGTATAAATATAAGGTGGGTCGGCTGAGAGAGATTGACTTTTCCTCTTCTCAGACCGAAACCTTTCTTCTTCTCCTCTCTTCTTTCCTTTTATCTCAGACCTAGGACTGAACTAGTGTTAATCGAATCATTCACAGAAAGCATGTCTTTAGTGAGGCACTTTTCCAAGGATGTTACCCATACAAAAAACTTTACTTTGATGGAGCTGCAAACCCCCAATTTGCTTTGCTATGAAAATACTCCTGGGGTTCATCCACTGGGCCCATATAGGACTTGACAGTGAATTCACCTGATTGGTTCCAGCTGCAAACTCTTATTGGGATTCCAGATTTGGATGTTGATTCTGGAGCAAGATCAGCAGATACGAAACCATTTCAAATTCTGTATCACTGAAATTCCTTCTGAAGGAACACTAGAAGAAACTATTGCCATCCACCACAAAGGACTCAGCCACCATGGTGTCTTTATTTTCTTCCAATCTAAAAAGGGCCGGAAACAAGTCTTTTAGTGTTTGTCACCACACCAGGGATCAACCCAGAACCTTAACCTTCTACGAATTTCCAACTTATAACTCGAACCTTTACAGGACCATGTGAAGACTTTGGAAATTTCCCTCCACACCCCACATCCATATGGCAAAATGGAAGGTTCTGCGTCCCAACCATTACTTCTAAGTTCTAACCCCACACTTTTCTGCTATGACCTTACTCTAAACACTTTGGGCTTGTCTGAAAACCTCCAACAGCATCTACCCAATAGAGCAGCATTGAAATTTTTAACTTCTTATTCCAAGTCCCCCTGTGATAGAGGCTTACAAACTTGTTCCCAGTTTACCAAGTGGTTGTTTGATGAATCTTTCTACCCTAGCCATAAAACATCTCTTATATTCTTTTCTGCTACTTTTGTCAGGATAGGGTACATTGACATGAAATATACGGGAAGACTTGCCAAAACACTTTTGATAAGTGTCACTTTGCCCCCTTTTGAAAGTACTTGGCTTTTCCAAGCTGCCAACTTCTTATCCACCCTCTCTAGTATTGGTTCCCAGATGACCTTTGAAGTGCATTTTGTGCCAAGTGGCAGACCCAGATACCTTGAAGGAAGGCTACCAACTTTGCATCCCAATATATCAGCCAGTTCATGAATATTACTAATCTCACCAACTGCCATCATTTTGCTTTTAGAGAGGTTGACTTTCAACCCTGACCTAACCCGGCTTGCACCCCTAGTTTGAGGTGGTGGAAGGGGGGGGGTCTCATGTTGTTGTTGGACACTGGACCACTTTCTCACATAGACCAAACAGTAAAGCCCTAGCTTCCATAGAGGACACCTAATTCAGGCTTAATCTAAGGTCAGGTACTTGATGGTAGATGGTTTAGCTAGGGGCTACATTAATGGCAGTAGAGTTCATGTGTTGAAATGCTTGGTCGATGAAGATTACGATTTTGTTTCCTTTTCCCTCTGTGTGGATAGGGAGAGTTGCCCTTTTTTGCCACAATTTTATTATATTTGTAATCCACTCTTTGATCTTGTTAAAGATAAAAAAGGAAAAAGATATCCCCGCTTAAATTGTATATAGTTTAATTTACTCTTGCAATTTTCAATTCCTGATATTACTGGATTGTTTCCCTTCTCGACACTGTAATTTTACAACTAGAAAATCAACAATTCCACATTTGTATTCAGGTTCTCACTAACTTACTAAAGGAAAGGTTATTAAGTGAAGGGAGAAGGCCATATGTCATTCCTGTTGGTGGATCAAACTCTCTAGGAACTTGGTGAGATAGAGATTGGTGATGTTTTAATCTGTCTTTATTTGTGTTTTTAAAAGTATTTTTTGAACTTTCTGTGGCTTGAGCATTATTCATTTCTGCATTGTTTGATATAGGTTTCTCATTGTCATAATGTGTGATCTGTATGTTTCTGTAGCTATGAAGTTATTTGCTTTCAGGTTTCTCTGTTTGTTTGAATCATTTCATTTTAATGAAATATGATCCCTTCTCTTGCCAAAAAAACCCTCCCTTCACCTTTTATTTCCTTTTTCTTTGTAAGAAATGTGCTGGTGTTGTTGAAGTGACAGAATGATGCACTTGGTAGTTAAATTATTTCCTTTTGAAACTGAATCTGTACCACTGTATTTGAAGAACTGTGAACCAGAACTGAACCAAAACCAAGCAGTTAACCCGTTGATCGGTTCTGTTTTTGACCAGTTTGGTTCTTTGGTTTCTCAGTTTTTATATTTACAATATATTATAAATAAATTTGTAAATATATAATATAATTACTACTAATATATAGTATATAATTATTATAAATATATTTATATTTATAATTAGTATGAATAAATTTATTATAAATATAATATATTTATATTTATGTATTTTATATATTCCAGTTTTCTTTTACCTTAACCAAAACTGAATTGGTACCACCAACTTTTGAAAAACACTGAACTGAAACCAAATTGATCAGTTAGCTTAACTGGATTTCTTGGTTCAGTTTCCTTGGTTCGGTTTGGTTATTTGGTTTTTGTTGAGCACCCTTGTTTTGTTATTGTTCCAGATAATAATGTTATTTAAGCTATGGTATGTCTGCAATATGAAGATGGCCTAATAGTTGCCCTCCTGTCCACCTTCTTTTCTTATTTTTTTTTCCTAAAAATTACAGGGGTTACATTGAAGCAGTTAGAGAGATTCAACAACAAATTCAACGGGGACCTGGAATAATTGGATTTGATGACATTGTTGTAGCATGTGGCAGGTCTTGCTCTTCTCTTCTAATTTGTTCTCTAAATCTTACTTATAATAATAATAATTATTTTTTATTGGAAACTTTATATTCTATTAAATAGCATATAAGTGTAGTTACACTGTTACAGTGCGCATTACAACCCTACAATGTAGTTAATTTAAAAAGAAGGCCCAAAACAGCTTAGCCCTGTTGGTCCCTTGCTTAGTGAGTGCATGAGCCAAGCCATTTTCTATTCTTTTAGCCCATCTGAATCTGACTCCCAATTCTTTTGCTAGGTGCCACACTTCTTGTAATAGCTACTCTGTGATTACAACTAATTTAGAATCACCTTCTACATCAAATTCTCTGAGGTGTAGCTGTTCTGAAATTCTCAACCCTTGTCTTAATGCTAATATATCTGTCCTCAGAGAATCTCCATGACCAAGTGACCTTGAGCATAAAGCCACAATTCTGCCTTAATGGTTTCTGAAAACTCCACCTTTTCTGGATGGTCCAGGGTTTCCACTAGAGCTACTATAAAAATTCAGTTTGATTCTGTTCACTAATAATTATTTATTAAGCTCCTTTTGTATGAACTATCATTTGTAGCCGTTATGTCTAATTGATCTGCTTTATATGCAGGGTTTATCACCATTCAATGATTTTTTTTTTCTGTGAAAACTGAAAAAAAAGGAAGGCAGAATATCCTCAAGTGTATTCTGGCCTAGTTGGTTTTGGTTTCTCTTTCCACATTGTGTTATCTCTTTGGAGGGGTTTCAGTTAAATGTACTCTAGGATACTCTATAAGTGGAGGTAGGGGTGACTCGTGGGTATTAGTGTGATGGGCAAGGGATGGGCCATGGTGCTAGTGACATTGAATTCTAAAGGCTATGTCATTAGTGGCCAGAGATGAGCTTTATACCAATCTAGTGAACCATCGGACTTCAACTTGATAGAATAAACCCATCTACTCCTAATAATAGAGGCATCTGAGGGGACTGGAACGAGATCCTAAGTGTCGTTCTCATGCAAAGCTTGAAACTTAGTGTCCATGTCATCTCTCGACTGAGGACGGCTAATGGCCTATTGGTAAGAGTGAGAATATTTGTGGAAGATAAGACAACAAAGGAGTTATGGTTTGAAGGAAAACATAGTAGTCAAGTGGTCAAGAAATACGAGTAGAATGGTTCAAAGGAGTGGAGGAAGCAATAGGGGTCTCTGAAATAGGAGTATCACTTATAAGGGTAATGACAACAGGAGTATTTGAAACAAATTGATGATTTGGACAGGGAGGAAAGGGGGTCGTAGGCGCAGGTGCTAGACCACAAACTTTCTTGTGAGAGAAGATGAGAAAATCCTTTATAGTAACTGAAGACGGAACATCTTGTGAATCAAAGTCATATAAAATAGAAATAGATGGTGTGGACGGTTTGGCTACTCCAGAGAAGAAAAAAATATACTAAGAAAAACAATATTTTGAGAAATACAAATACAACAACCAGAAGGATTGTAACAAAGAAATCTTGTGGTTAGGATTATACCCTACAAAGGCGCACATAACAAATTAAGCTAAAAGGTTAAAACGTTCATGAGAAGGAAGATGCACAAAACATAGAGGACAACTAAACAATTTCTGATAAGGAGACATGTTAGCAAGAATAGAAGAAGGGACATGGTTGATTAGAAACACAACTATACTAGTTGTCTTTATCGAAAAGGAAGGTGGAGCATGTGATTCTTGTAGAAAAGTTATCACAACATTGAGAATATGTCCATTCTTACGTTTTTCTACACCATTTGCTGAGGAGTATCTAGACAGCTTCGTTGAACTTGTATTCCATGATTCTTTGAATAGGATAGAAAATCTCCATCATAGTATTTTCCCCTTGAGTTCAAGCAGAGGATCGGTACACTATGTTAGAATACACGAATCAGGGGTATTTTGGTCATTTTGGTTTATCTGTTTGAGAGTGAAAGGTCTATTTTATTTAAGTTAAGTTGTGTCCCATCTTTCATGAGGGACAATATGGTCTTTCTTGTAACTCTATTATTTGAAATAAATACAAGTGGGTCAGCTAGGGAGGACTGATTTTTCTTCTTCCTAATCTGGCCGAACTCTTCTTCTCTTCTCTTCTTCTTCTTCTTCTTCTTCTTCTTCTTCTTCTTCTCTACTTTAACCTAGAATCAAATAGGGTTTTCTTACATGGTATCAAAGCAGTAAAACCTTGTTCTCCTTTCATTCTTCCTTGTTGCTGTCTTCTTCCTGGGTTCACCGCCAACTTTTTCAGCCTTCTTCAAATTTCTGCTAGCCTGAGTGGAAGCTCGACAAGGGGCCAGAAAGGAGTCGTCGTTTTGTGGTTTTGGAGGTGAGTATGCCTCCAATTACTGTGGTGGGTTTGAAGGCTGAGTATGAGCCCGTTCGGGCACAAATACTGAGGGGGGGGGTTTGCTCTTCCCTCACT